ATCCAGGAACACACCCCAGGAGCATGGGCTTCTCAGGGTGCCAGGCTCAGCCTCCCTGGGAGGACATTTGTGCCCAGGCTGAGGTGGGACCCCCTGGGTCCATGCTGTCACCACCAGAGGGCGTAGCCGTTGCCCAGGTGAGGGCAAGGGGAGGCCCCCTTCCCAGCCTTGGGAGAAACCAAGTGGGCTCACAGCTGCGTCTGAAAGCTGCCCCTTCATGGAGTCCAGGGAGCCCGTGTCGCCTTTCGTCTCTCTCAGCTGAGGTCTGGCTGACCCTTCTTCCCCAGTTCCTGCCTGGCTCAGGGAGTCAGATTTCCTTGGTGTAGGTGTCAGGAAGCCTGGGGTCTCCCTGCTGACCTCATGCCTGGTTCTGCTTCGTCCTCCCCACCCCCAGCACCACTCCCAGATGTGCCTGCCTGGCCTCCTTTAGTCCCCCTCCTTGCACACACTCGTGGCTGTGCCGAGCACCTAATTGCCACCTCCATCACCTTCTCTCAGCCTCTTCACTACCCTGTGGGGTGGGGCTGGGGTGGGAGGTGAGTGTGGGCCAGGCCAGGTAATCACCAACACGGCCCAGAGATGGGGAGGGCAGCACCCTGGACCACACAGCCTGCCAGGGGGCCCCAGTGGGCGTGAAGGGAGGGAGACCAAATTCCTGTCTGGGCAGGACGGAGGGGGTGGGGCCCAGGAGGGAGCGCCCATGCTCCTTCTGCTCTGTAGCCCACCCCTCCATTTCCCCAGCTTCATCTCCCACCAGACCCCCAGTCGAGGGGAGCACATTCTCCAAATCCCCCCAATTACTCAGTCAGGTTTCTGCTCATATCTTCAACCCTCCTTTCCCCACCTCAGGGCCCGCCTGCCTGCCTCCCTCCCCGCATTTAGCCCCTTGGCCGTGGCCACTGAGGGCCTGGCCAGGGTCCCAGGCACCACACCACAGCAGTCAGCCTTGCTGGGCCAGAGCTCGGGACAGTCCCGGTCTGTCTGGCAGGGCTGGCAGGTTCGGGATTGGCTGGCGCTGCCCCCGCCTTTGGGAGGAGGGAGCTGTGAGGGGAGGCCGGTGGCTCACCCAAGGTCACCCTCCTTCTCTTTCCCCGCATCCCTGACCAACCTTTGTCCCTGCTGCCTGCCTCACCTTGCAGAGGGAAGAGGCAAGATGCCCAACGGGCAGAGCACGGAGGAGCCCGGCAAAGAGAAAGGCTATGGGGGCTCCCGATGTTTATTCGTCCAACAAATATTGAGTGCCTACTGTATGCCAGACCCCGAGCACCCAGCAATGAGCACAGCAAACACATCCCTGCCCTCACGGGGCTCGCAGCCCAGCAGGGAGACAGACAAGAAAAACAGTCACATAAATCATGTGAACGTGTGTCCCTGAGCTGTGTGGCAAAAGCATGTGGAGCCCAAGGGAGGCAGGCTTCAGGCAGAGGCCTGGGTGGGGGCTGAGCAAGGCCTCAGTTTCCTCATCTGAAAAAACGCAGGAAATAAATGGGTCTTGCCCACGGGTGTGCTGCAAGGTGGCCTGCGTTCTGGCCTGCAGCCCTCAAAAAGAAGGCCCTGTCTTCCTCCCGTGGAAGGAAGAGTAGCAGCTTATCAGCGAAAATGGCGGGGAGGGCATTCCTGGGAGACCAGCAGCTGTCACCAAGCACTGAGGTCGCCCCAGGGAGATGAAGGACCCCAGTTCTTGTGCTGTGTGCTACGGAGCAAGCGTCCTTGACCTCTTGCACCGCCTCCGGCTGGAGGAGAGGAGGGGCTGGCCCCAGGCTGTCTCTCCTGCCCACCCCTTCCACACCCCCATGTTCCTGGCCATGTGGCACCTCTGTGCCCCACCTGGGGGCTTGGGAAGCCAGAGAGAGGTGGGTGGGATTCCCGCAACTGCGGAGACACGGCCCTGTGGAGCAGCCCCGCCCCACAGCCCCAGGGCGGCAGGGAGGGGGTGCTGTCTCTTTAAGAGCCTTCAGGCTGCTGGGAGCAGATGGCCAGGCCGGCCGGGGCCCCTTGTCCTTTGTGTGGCTTCGCACAAAAGAGGGGGCCAGCTGGGGAGGGGGCGGCTGCAGCAGGTGGGAGGGGTGGGGCCTTGCCCCTCCCCCTCCTAACCCTGGGCCTTTGCCCCTTGGGGAGGGGGTTGCTCACTAGGAATGCAGCTCCTCTCTGAACACCGCGGCCCTCACAGTCGCCCCCAAACTCCTAGGAGACCCCTTCCATGTCATGTTCCACCTCCTAGGCAGAAGTCTCACCACACCAGGGCCTAGGGACCCCCCCTCCTCCAAGGAATAAACCTCCCCTTCCAGCTCCCACTTCCAGAGCAGTCTTCCTTTGGCCCTGCCTGCCTGCCTGGCTGCAGAGAGAAGTGAGAAAAGAATTAGGTTCTTTGGCGGGGGGTGGTGCTGGGTCAGGAGGAAAGCCAGTGGCTGGGGATTCTTGCTAGAGAGACTGGGGGTACTGGTGGCAGCCCCGAAGGAGGGAGGCAAGAAATAAGCATGATGCTGAGGCCTGGGAGTGGCAGTTAGGAGGCTGGGCCTCGGACCCTAGGTAGGAAAGGAGGTAAGGGTAGGGGGGTGGGGGCGCGCAGGGCAAGACGGGAGACGCCATCGCAGGAGAGGGTGGCGTGCTGCAGTGGTTGCCTGCCAAGCAGGAGGGGACGGAGACGCGCCCCTCCCTAAAGGGTGGAGGTGCGGGGGGTAGGGATGGCACCCTGCCATTCAGGAGGGGTCAGCTTGGGAAGACTCTTCGTCTTGGAGGAGATCCCCTTAGCTCAGCCGGTCCTTGGTTCATTCATTCTCTTTTGTCCAGACCTCCCCACCCTGGGGCTTGGTGCCCAATACATGATTAAGTAAGTGGAGGAAAAAGGCCCCGGAGCCCTGGCCCGAGGTGTGGCGGGCAACGTGGCCGCTGGCTGGGTGGCCTCTTGTGGCTCGACAGCGCAGCAGCCGGGTGGGGTCGTGCCTGACTTTGCCCGGCAGTCCGCAGGAGTCCCCAGGAACCTGCGGCCCCAGCTGGGTCGTGGTCCGACCGCAGGCAGCGGGTGGGGGCGGGGATCCCTGGCTGGGCCCTGGGCTGCTTCTAAATTTAGGAATCTGATTACAGAGTGGCCGAGGAAGGGAAGGGAGAGGAGGGCGCGAGAGCAGGGTCGGCTCCGTCTGGGCACAGCGGGGTGTGCCCGGGTGGAGGTGTGTCCAGGAGTCGGACTCCGGGTGGGAGGGGCGGCGGGCGGGGGCTTCGGCCTGTGTGCGCGGCAGCACGTGCCCCGGGCGCCGGGGACGGGCACGGGCGCTGCTCGCGGGCTCGGAGCCGCCGCCGGTGTGTGCCCTGGCTCTTTGTGGGGGGTAGGGATGGCACCCTGCCATTCAGGAGGGGTCAGCTTGGGAAGACTCTTCGTCTTGGAGGAGATCCCCTTAGCTCAGCCGGTCCTTGGTTCATTCATTCTCTTTTGTCCAGACCTCCCCACCCTGGGGCTTGGTGCCCAATACATGATTAAGTAAGTGGAGGAAAAAGGCCCCGGAGCCCTGGCCCGAGGTGTGGCGGGCAACGTGGCCGCTGGCTGGGTGGCCTCTTGTGGCTCGACAGCGCAGCAGCCGGGTGGGGTCGTGCCTGACTTTGCCCGGCAGTCCGCAGGAGTCCCCAGGAACCTGCGGCCCCAGCTGGGTCGTGGTCCGACCGCAGGCAGCGGGTGGGGGCGGGGATCCCTGGCTGGGCCCTGGGCTGCTTCTAAATTTAGGAATCTGATTACAGAGTGGCCGAGGAAGGGAAGGGAGAGGAGGGCGCGAGAGCAGGGTCGGCTCCGTCTGGGCACAGCGGGGTGTGCCCGGGTGGAGGTGTGTCCAGGAGTCGGACTCCGGGTGGGAGGGGCGGCGGGCGGGGGCTTCGGCCTGTGTGCGCGGCAGCACGTGCCCCGGGCGCCGGGGACGGGCACGGGCGCTGCTCGCGGGCTCGGAGCCGCCGCCGGTGTGTGCGCTGGCTCTTTGTGTGCCTGGCAGGGTGGCTGGGTCTGGCTTTGAAAGTCTCTGCCCACCCCCTCCCCCATCTCCGTCTGTGCCGCTCTACCCGCTTCCCTGTCTGTCACTCTGCCCGTGCTTGTCCGGGGGGAGGGGGATGCTGCTTCCAGCTGGGGTGACAGTGAACCCAGTGGGGAGGAGACCCAGCTCCTCCCTCCCCCTGCAGTCCAGACTTTCCCCAATACCTCTCGCTCCCCATCCTTGATGCCACTGTTTTGAGGTGCAGACTGCAGCAGTTAAAGGGAATTGGGGGTGACCCCTGGGGACACACACATCCACCAGAAGCCAGGCTCTGGCCCGGTAGCTCTCGGAGAAATTAATTTCTCGGCTGTCCGGCCTCCCACCCGTTCTGGCCCCCAAGGGCGCATGAAGGGGGGGTCCCCTCTGCGGAAGGGGGGGGGGAGTTCCTTGGCAGGAAGGGAAATGGAAGGAAAAGCTGGGCTCCACCCGGGCGGGCGGGCAAGCGGCCTCAGGGCCCCCGGGGCAGGCGGCAGTAACCCGAGCCCACGGGTGGATGGGTCTGGTGCGGACGTGGGTGGGGCTGACCCCCGGCTACTCCTGGGGGACAGTGGGGTCTCCCCCAGGGGCAAGTCTAGGAGCCCAGGGACGCGAGGGGGGCCCGGCCAAGGGACGCGCTCCCCACCCCGATCCTGACCCCACCCCCTGGAGGTCTAGCCCCGGCCCCAGGCCCCGCCCCCGGGCCCTCCCTCCCACCCCAGGGCCAGATGTTCAGCTGGCGGAGGCATCGGCTGGGGGAGGGGTGCTGAGGCCGCAGCCGGCACTACTTCCCTGCCAGCAGCTTCATTGTGTGCGCGAGGAGCGAGCGGCGGCGGAGAGCGAGCGGCCGGCCGAGCA